CTGTGCGCGCGCTCGCGGCGGAGCAGGAAGCTCTTCCAGCCCGACTGGGCGCGCAGCCAGACGTTGAAGTAGGAGTGGATGATGATGACGGAGGCACCCATCCAGCTCCACTCGCCAAAGAGGGACTCCCAGGTGCCGTAGCCGACCACGCACACGGCCACCAGGAACTCCAGCACCCGGCTCACCGCGTTCACGTAGTAGATGATCTCGTCCATGCGCTCCAGCGGCGTGTCCTGGAACAGCTCGACCATGAAGAGCGCGTAGATGAAGAGCGTGCCCATCACCTGGGAGACAGCGGGGACAGCCCATTGCTGCTGGCGGCCGGCTGGCTGCCGGACCACGCACCACGACCCAGTGCTCCGTCCCGGTGGCGGCCCCGAGCGGGCTGCGCCCACCCGCGGGAACACGGCCCCTCTCCGTCTCGTCGGTGCAGGGGGCTCCTGGGGCCATTGGCAGGGGACCTAATCCAACACGGGAGAAGGGACAGGCAGGTGCTGCAGGGCCAGGACAGGGCAGGGTAGGGGAGCAAAACCATTCTGGCAGGCCGAGCAAGGTGTCTCTGGGACAGCGACAGACCCCCTGGGGCTGGGGCTCCCCTGTACCTGCAGAGAGGTGAGCATGCAGCTGGAGACCAGGATCAGCAGCCAGAAATCCAGGTGGAAGAAGTGCGCGATCTTGTAGGCCATGAAGCAAGGGAAAACCAGCAAGAACAGGCACATGCTGACACCGCGGAAATGCTTCCAAGGGCTCCTAGGGAAGGTGCAGGTCAGCAACGTGGTGCCGCCCCAGGCCTGCCGGCAGGACCCACACACCCCCGGCCACTGCACAGTGGAGCATGGCACCCACCGCCCCTGGCACCATGTCCTCCGGGACCCGTCCTCCAGCACCGTTTCTGCCCAAGAGCGGGCAGAGAGGATCCGAGAGGAGCTGGAAGGCCAGGGAGCAGCTGTGCAGGGCACCAGTCCTGGCCAGGCCTCTCAGAAGCAGGACTGGATGCAGAAATTGGTACTGGGCAAAAGGAAATAAAGGGAGGCTCATGGGCCCAGCCAGCTCGGACGGGCCCGGTCCACAGCCCCGGCTCCGGGGACACCTCAGCCCCACGGTGTCCAGGACGGGTCTCGGCAGGCTGGGGGAATGGGGCAGCGCTCCCAAGCGCAGAGATCCCCTGACCAGGAGACAGGGGCATCCTGGCTGCACGCTGGGATCACGGTACCCAATTTGGGTGTTCTTTGAGGAAGAGAGGATAACCCTGAGTCTGGAAAGAAACCACAGTGCTGGTCTGCAGATCCTCCTCCCAGCTCCTATGCGGCAAACCGTGCACCCTTGGGCAGGGCTGGTCCTGGGGGCCGGGCCAGGCAGTGCGGTGCAGGCTTGGGCTGGATCCTGCTGCTCTTCCCCAAGCACTGGGAGAAGAGGCAAGTACCTGTTGCGGGAGGCCCCCAGCGCCAGCACAATGGGGTCAGCTATCTCGATCATGGACTGCAGCGTGGAGGTCACCACGATGAAGAGGATGATGCTGAGGAGGAAGGTCCGCTGGAGGATCTGCAGGTCAAGCAGCCCCGTCTGCAGCGCCAGCAGCAGCAGCGTCACACCCTCCGTCACCCCCCTGTGAGAAGTGGGGCGTGAGGCCGGGGCACGAGCACACACACGGCACCACGCACAGCCTGACCGGCACAGGGGCATGCACCATGCATCAGCCTGGGGCACAGCCAGGAAAGGGGGGACCTGGACCCACATGGGCTCTCAGGCCAGCCCTGCTGCCTTTTGCAAGGCACACGGGTCCGTTTCCGCCTTCACGGTGGCTCTTTGCTTGGCCACGGCAGCTCGTCCAGCTGGGCCGGCACCACGACCCACGCATGGAAAGAAACAGTCACTGCTTGCCTGGAGCGGGACACGCAGCTTGGCCAGGCTGGGCCAGAGCTGGCGCCACGTGGCACAGCTCTGCTTTGTCCCAGCGCCTAGGCCACACCTCATCCCCTGCAGCCCCCACGGGATGTACCCCAACCCTGGATCTGCTCCTCACAACACCCACGTGCTTCCCACGCTCCTCTGCACGGGGCTCTGGTGCGCAACTTGTCAAGAACAAGGAACATCTCTGGCTGTTCAGCATGTGCCGAGACGTGCCAGCTACCCGCAGCTCTCCGTGCACCTCTGGCAGGGCAGGAGCGATCTCCTCGCCAGCCCAAGGGAGCTCGGTGTAGCCAGCGGGCTCAGAGCCAGACCTACCACAGGGCTCGGACGAGGGATGTCCCTGCTGCCTCCCATGCGGGGCAGGCAGTGCTGGGGTTCCCGCTCTGTCGCCCGCCCTGGCGGCTCACCACGGGGATGCAGAGCCCCAGCCCGCGGCGAGCGCCCGCGCAGGGCTCACCTGTGCATGACATTGCCGTTCTGGAAGGCACCGTAGCCCAGCAGGTAAAACTTGCAGAGGTTCAGCACGCCCAGGGCAAGGTAGGAGACAGTGAAGGTGAGGCCGACGAGGGAGTAAGGCGTGCTGCAGCACTCGGCCACGCTGCAACAGAGCCCGGGGTGAGTGCAGACACCGTCCGGCAATTCCAGGCAACTCCCCAGCGGTGCCGCAGCACAAACCCAGGCCTTCTTTCTCTTTATTATGTCCTTCCTCTTCCTCCTCCTGCAGCCAAGGGGGAGGAAGGCAAAGCTCACACAGCTCCTGCCAGTGGCTCTGCCCTAGCCATACCTCGAGAGAGCTTCCTCAGTATGCCCTGGCTGCAGCGCGGCCCTGCACTCCTACCTGCTGAGGAGGATGAAGAGCAGGCCCTGCTGGGCGAGGGGGCTGCTGGAGGAGGCCAGGAAGAAGGAGAGGCGCAGGGAGAAGAGCACCAGCCAGAACACGAGGAAGAGGAGCGGGATGGCCAGCTGGCTCCAGAGCGACACCCCCAGCGCGACCAGTCTGTACACCTCCAGCGCCTGCGGGGAAGGGCCATGAGCTGGGCCGTCAGCAAGGAGGCCAGAGCCGCCGCCAACCATCAGCACATCTGGCTGAGAACTGCCAGCATTCAGGACATGCTACGCGGCACCCAGACCCCGACACTCAGGGCACAGGGCTGGCACAAAAGAGAACCTCCTCTCCCTCCCCGCTCCAGCTATGAGCCCTGGGGCTGCCCACAGGAGCTGGGAACTCCTCTACCCTCCCGCTGCTCCTTCCCAGCCGTGCCAGGACTGCGGAGGTGGGCTGGGAGCCCTGCAGAGTCCTCGCTGGTCCCAGCGGAGCTCCTGGCCATCTCTGGCACTGGAGAGCCCAGGAGGAAGCAACCTGGCTCCATACCTTCCCATGTGCAATGAGAGACGGGGGCACAGAGAGTCCCGTGCCTGTGCGGGGGGACAACCTGGGGCAAACTCTGCATCAGGCTGGTTTTCCCAGGGCTCATGCGGGGCACCCTCCCCTCACCCGGCGCCAGGACAGGAACCGCATCCCATCTCCCACCGCCGAGCCAGCAGGCCCCTCTGCCCGCAGAAGCAGACAGTTTCGGCCAGGCCGAGGTCTCGCGCTCGCTCTAGCCCTGGCCCCTCCGATCCCGGCACAGCCCTACGCACCTGCGCTAGCTCCCTGCAGGCCACAGCAGCCAGCTGGAAGGGCACGAGGATGTGGGAGCTGACGACGTAGAGCACCTCCACCGCGGTGAGGACAGTGGCAAAGGTGTTGACCACGGGCAGCATGTGGAGGGGGAAGGGGCAGAGCCGGGCCAGCAAGGGGAGCAGCGGGGCAGAGAACAGCCACACTTGCTTGGTCCTCATCAGGAGCGAGCAGAGGGCACACACGGAGACCTGGCCTGCGGAGAAGAGAGGAGACGGTCTGGGCACACAGGCAGGACACACGCTCTCCCCACACCACCCTGGCTTTCCCTCCGGAGCCTGCTTTCACCAGCCCCCAGGCCCCCGCCACCGAGAGGTTCAGCACAGGCTCCAGGGAGCTCCAGGGAGACACCAGGCTCCTGGACACATTGGCATGAACTGCTGGCCCAGAGCAAACCTCGTCTCAGCCGTTGCTCCCCTCGCAGAGGGCACCAGGCTCTGCTGAAAGCAGAATAGGGACATCCCAGAGACTGCCCGAGCCAGGGAGCGGAGAGGCTCGGACCCTTGCCCCGCAAGCCCCC